CAAGTTGCGCAGCGAAAGGATTGAGCAAACGGCTGGGGGCTGCGCGGGCTGAAGTTGTTAAATACGAACGAGCCTGGAAGAACGCGGCCGTAGGCAATAACGGAAATATCGAATTGCTTCGAGCATTGAACGCGAGCAAAGTGATGTTTAAACTTTCGACTGGGTGGCTGAATCAAGCAGGAAAATAGGAGGCTGGATGGATCCCAAGCCAAGCGGCTCAGAATAATTTTACATACTCCACCTTCGTTCTTGTCGCGCGTGTCAAATGAGGCCGCAGTGCAGCAGGCGCGGCAGGACCCTTACAGCGCCCGGCTTCTGCGGCAACGGCTCGCACCGCATGGGGGAACAGGTGGGGCTTCGAGCCGGACCTTTCTGAGACGCGCCACTTTTCAGCCTGGCGCTGTGCTCTCTGCAACGGACGCGCTCAAACAGAAGCGTGGGCGACCGCGGCGCGAGTGGGCAATTGGGCTCCACCGAATGATTTCAGCGAGTTCCAGTTCGCACGCTTTGCTTGTCCAGCGCGTGCAGGACCCAGTGGAGTGGGATGCCTTCGTAAAGCGCCTCGCACAACAGTGCGGCGATGCCGGCGGGCATCTTTGATCTGCTTTCTGTGTTATTATGCCTGCGCCTCTTCACAGGTTGGCTGCAGCCTTCGGCCTGATACGTTCCAGGCGGAATTCGTATCAGCCGCTTGTTGGTTGTCGTCCCTCCTTCCTCCTTCTCCTCCTCCTCCTTTTCCCCCTCTCCCTCTGCATGCTGTAAATTATGCGACCGCCCACATGCCATGCCGCCGCTCCCGCAAAGCGGTGAGGATTGGCTGGCCGTGCTTTGTTTTCGCTCACGCGGTTCGGCGCATGGCATGAGTGAGCGAGCGAGTGAGGAGTGAGTGGGGGCTCCGGGTCAGGGAACCCGAGCCCAGGATCCGCGATTCGGGGCTCGGGACCCCGAATTCCGAACCTCGGGAGCTCCGGGTCCCCGATCGGGCCCCGACCCTGGCCGCGGCCCCCCTTCGTCCCCCTCCCAGAGCGGACAGGGTTGTCTCGCGATGCTCTGCACGGCCCTCCTTGGCGCTCGCGGAGGCACCTCCCTCCTCTAAGAGCGGACAGGGTCCTCTCAGGAAAGCGCTGCACGCCCCCAGACATGCGAGGTCATGATTTTTCCGATGCGCGGTCCCTGAATGTCCCGACCCCTTCCCCAGGACGGGCTTCTCATCTTAAAAAGTTGTCTTTACGGACACGAGGCCTGGCGAGGGCCTCCGGAGGCCGAAACCAGCCAAAAAACTTTCCGTCCTTATTATTTTATAACCGACGCGATCTTGTCTGGGTTTCCCCCTTCCCCCCAGCTCGAGCGTTCCCCTCCCAGGGCTGGCAGGGTCTTCCCGGAAAGCGCTGCACGGCCCCACCCACTCCCTTCCCAGGGCGGAACCCCCTCGGCCCCCCCCCAACGGGACCCGCCCCGGAAAGCGCTGCGCGTTCCGCGTCCACCTCCCCCTCCCAGATAGCGGACAGGGCCCCCCCCTGGGAAGCACTGCGCGCCCCCCCCCTTTTCCAAGAGCGCCCTTCCTTCCACTTGCGGACAGGGCCTTCCCGGAAAGAAAGCGTTTGACGGCCCACCCCCCCGTCCCACGGCGGACAGTGCCCCCCCGGAAAGCGCTGCACGGCCCCCCTCCCCTCCCAGAGCGGAGTTGCCCCCCCCCCTCCCAGAGCGGACAGGGCCCCCCCCCAGAAAACGTTGCATGCCCCCCCCCCTTCCCAGAGCGCTCCCCCCCCCCTCCCAGAGCGGACAGGCCCACCCCCGGAAAGCGCTGCACAAGCCCTTCCAGAGCGGACAGGGCCCCCCCCGGGAAGCGCTGCGCAAGCGTTGCACGGCCCCCCCCCCTCCAGAGAGTTCCCCACCTCCCAGAGCGGACAGAGTCCGCCCGGAAAACTGTGCACGAGCGTTGCACCCCCCCCCCTTCCAGAGCGGAGCTTAAGCGGAGTTCAAGGCTCAAGCCCACGCTCTCTCAAACTGACATGCCAGAGCGGCGGAATTTGCGGCCTGCTTCCAGAGGGGCGAGAAGCCATGATAATGATACGCTCTTAGATTCCCGTCTCCCACACCTTTCTCCCACACCTTTTCCGCGATCCCCCGGTTACTCCACAACGGTCCGCAGAAACGTGGAGTCCAGAGCTCCTGGAACACATCTTGAGACAATCGCACCATCGGTGCCGGCGGTGTCGAGGCTGCGTGGGCCGGCAGAGCCAGCAGCGGTCTTCGATGCTTGGGAGCCGTTTCGCGGCTTGCTTGCGCCGCTGTAAGTCCACCCAGCAGCGTGCCCTCGAGGACGTGCTCTTCGCGGGGCGACGACGGTGCCTCAGCCGAGCACCAAGGTGCCTGGCACCGCGGCAGGGCTTCGGCGCCCGTCAGAAGGCTCGACGCATGACATCGGACCCCGAACCATACTTGCGGGCCCATTTTGGAGGTCGTCGCGGCGATCGCAGAGACCACAGAGTGGGACAATGTTTTTTCAAGGGGTGGCATGTAGGCTTGGTCATGGTTAAGGAGTGTGTCCTGGAGGCTTCAGACCCTGGAGAATTCCTTATATGTGGGCGGCGGCGGTGATCTCCATGGCCAAATCCACGATTGGAGTTCCATCGGCTTCCAGAACATGGGTTCCTTATCCCCTGGGGGTCCCTTTTCAAATGCCCTCACCGAGCGCAACACCCGAGGAGATCTCAAGTGATCGTCACCTCTTGGACACCGGCCGTCCTCCGTCCGTGTGCTTGTTGGAAGCTCCTGGTGCCGTGGTCATCATGTGTGGGGAAGTATTTGGCGAAGAGGAGCCAGAGACCGAGGATCCGAGAGACCCAAGCCTACATGCCTCTAGGGGTCCTCTTGGGCCGTCTCAGGGTTTTTTTGGACCGCCTTGGGGGCCTCCTTGGGCCGTCTTAGGGCCCTCCTGGGCCGTTTGGGGGCCCTCTCGGGGGTCTCAGAGCGAAGAAGATCCACCCTGCAGACACCATGGAGAAGAGATTTGCAACGAGGACCCAGAGATCCGAGGATCCGAAAAGTAGAGCGGCCGGCTTCTGCCCGTTTCCGGCCTCCTGGGGCCCTCAACGGGCCCCGGGACCATCAAAGACTAGTTAGGACGAAAAAACGCCCCTGGGTAAGTGCTCCAGACCTGCAGGGGTCCACGCATCGAAAACATTGGAGCGCCGGATCTTTGAGTACGCAGCGGCCAGAGAACGACAGCCCACTCTGTCAGGCGCAACATTAGGAGTGGAGAGGCCAGGAAGGGGCGGAAGCAGAATTGCGAAGATGCGATCAGGGGCAACGTTGGATTTTCGGGCGCGTTCGTCAACGATCGGCGGTTCTCCAGCCCAGAGATGCCCTCCGCCAACTGCGCCTCGCCGAGAGCGTTCAGGGAGTGCCCGGATCGTCCAAATAGGCCGCTGGAGGCCCGAGTTATGGCCCAGAAACCACCGGGTGAGTTGCTCGGGTGGGACATGGTGGAATGGGCCCGGGGGGGGGGGACGCATTGACCCCCACCCCCAATCGCCCTATAACCCACCCCGCCCAGGAACGGTCGGTTCTGCTATTGGGGGCCCATCGCCGATCTATCGGCGATGTACCTCCGATTCCAGGTCCTCCTCCGTTGCCGTTTGCGGCAGAAGCCCTTCTTATCCTCGCTTTCCTCCTCCTCCTCCTCCTCCTCCTCCTCCTCCTCCTCCTCCTGATGCTCCTTCTTCTCCTGATCCTCCGTCTTCTCCTGATCCTCCCCCTCTTCAGGTCGATGCTTCCCCCCCTGAGCCCGTGCCGCTCTGACGTTGCCCCTCATCCTGCTGCGCAGTACCTAGCCATAGAGAAAGTGGTGACGCCCGTTTTCCGTAGACCACGAGTCACTCGCAATATCGCGGCCAGCCAGCCCCCCTGGGGGGAGGCTCCACGGTACGATAGGCCCCCTCCTTGCTCGGCACTCCTGGTCATATGGCGAACCTGCGATCGTCACGACTGCTGCTGTGACCAATGGCGTCGACATCACAGATGGTCAAAAGCATTTATTTGGAGATGCATCGGATGAAGAGCAACGGGAAGGCAGACGAAAGGACACTTGCCCAAACGCTCGCCGACCTCGCCGAGTGGTGTCGAGCAGCCTGGCTGTGGTTTCGCATTGTCTGCTCGTGGTGCCAAAGGCGCGCCGCACAGTTCCTCTGCGGGCGTTCAAGTGAGCTGTTTTGGGGCGACATTTAGAGCCACCCGGGGGGCACTCTCGGGATTGACTGTGTGGAGGGGTCTGACGCCGTCTGGAGGCGTCTCTCCGTGTCTTGGACCTCCCCGGGGGGGGCCTGCGGGGCGTGACACCTTGTGTCGTGCTTGAGGATTATCGGCCTCTGTCCTGCGATTCTGGGACGGCCCGAAGTGTTCGTGCCGCGATGGGTTACCGAAAAGCATCGGCAGCAAAAGAAACCTCACAAGCGCATAGTTGCATTCTGATTGTTCAGGCGTCTGGGCCCTTCTTCGGACCCTCTTGTGGTATCTCGGGGCCTCTCGTGCGACGCTTGGTGCCTCTCGGGGGCCTCTCGGGCAACCCTGACGGCCTGATTGGGTACTCCACTCGTGCGACGCTTGAGTGCCCCCATCCCCTGGGATTGGAGGGGGGAGGGGTGGCCCGGAACGGGTCTCCGGCCAGTTCTGCAGTTTGGGGCTCCGTGTGAGGTGGGCTGTCAGGGGGGGGTCCCGCAGGGCCCGATGGATTCTGCAAGCCCCATGCTGCCCTGCTTTGAGTTGTCTTCGTTTCTGCTGTCTGCGTCCCGCCGCATCTGGGTATGTCGACATTGCTCGAAGCTCTTCTGCCTCCAGATCCTTGGAGCAAGGCGTCGGAGTTCCACGGTGCGTCCAGAAAAAACGAACGATGCCTGGGGAGACTTCGTGCAAGCCAACGCCTTGCTTCGAGGGGCGTGGAAGTCGAAAGCGGATACCTGCACGCTCCTCTATCTCTCTCTCTGATCAAGCCCTGTCAGGGGAGCTGGAATCCTACGACTGCCGCCGGGGGGTTGTCGAGCCGGAGCCGCGCGTGCCCTGCGGCGGGAAGCCAGAGGGGGCGGGCGCAGGGCGCGGGGGGCATCCGACCGTCGTGAGATTACCAGCACGGTCCAGTGGGAGGCGGGGGCAGGAGGGAGGAGGGGGCGGGAGGGTGTGAGACGGGAGAAGGGCTCAGATCTCCGACGACATGATTTGTTGAGGCCAGGCGTTGCTCATGGATTTCGGCTTCCTGGGGGGCCGTTCCCGGGGGAGTGGTCGGCACTTTGTGGGCCGCGCATGCCAGAAGAATACACCAGAAAGGCACCCTGATAGCAGCAAGGGTGAAGAGGCGGGGCAGGGGTGAGAGCAGCCGGGGCACGGGCGAGAGCACGGCCATGTGCACTTTCGCGCATCTCTTACAAGGGATCATAACCATCTGGACCAGAAATGTAGCCGGCAGTGTGGCGAGAGCAGTATTCCTGATTGTAGGATCGTCTGGACCAGAAATGTAGCCGGCACTGTGGCGAGAGCACGATCCCTGATTTTATGATGAGGCGCACGGCTGCTTGAGCGGGCGTTCTCGGGCTCCCCGTCCCCTCTGTGGGACTCTTCTGTGCTCATGTTTCACCCTCCTAGTGACACGCTGAGAGTCGTTGCGCGATATCCGTCCCCGAACCAAACCTCGAGGTCGAGTTCGGAGGTCGCCGTCGCGGCGATCGCGGCGGCCAGAAATCCCGGCAAGGTTTTTGCCAAGGCGCATGCCCCGTACGGGCTCAAAATGATCCATAGTGCGACAGAGTCACCAATCGGGTCGATTCTCAGGCAACCGATTTGGGAATCACATCGTCGGATGTATCGGGTAGGACCCGTGTACGGGCACACCTCCACTGACGCCACAGCTGGCGGAGGATTCCCCGGGCAGTGTTTTCCAACGATTGCTGCCTGCCCCTAAGGAGGAACAACTTATGCGCATCTGTAACTTGCACCGCGCCAGCGACGCCCAGCGACGCTGCGTGCTTGCGAGACAGAACGCCCTCCTTACCTTCTGCCTCGGACCTCCTGGGACCGGGAAGGCCAAGGTCGCGGCATGCGTGGCGGACGCCTACATGTTTTGCCTCCCCCCAGGGTGGGGCGTAGGGTGCTTTGGCGGCACCAATGGGTCTATGGACAACCTGGCAGAGCAAATCGGAAAACACTTGAGCCCAGACAACAAGGACCTGTTCCCGCGCATGGCAGTCCGCCTCGCACACGAGGACAAGGTAAAGGGCAGCGTGGCCAAAACGATCACCCCCGCAGCCAAGTACGCCAAGATGTACAACGTATCGGAGGACGACGTCACCACGGGGCACGCGAGCTGGTTCCGCAAGTTCCGTGCGGAAGTCGCTACTAAGGCAAACCTTATCTTGGCCACACACGAAGTGGGAGCTGACCTCCGGGACAAAAAGCTCCTCATATGTATCCTCGACGAGGCAGGACAAACGTCCGAGCCCATGGCCATCATGTCCCTGAACCACGCCGTCAGGTGCGAGGCCAGGACGGTTCTCTTCGGCGACGAGCGGCAACTGTGCCCGACGGTCAAATCCCAGCAGGCACTACAATGGGGGCTAGGCGTGTCCATTGTCGCCAAGTACGTAGCAGCCATAGGGGACATCCCCGAGTGCAACGTCACGTTGGAGGAGTGCTATCGGATCCATCCGTCCTTGCTTGCGTGGCCTTCGCTCACGTTCTACGGGGGCAGACTGGTCTCCGCCATCCTGGACCCCTTGCTACGGCGACCATGCGCTGAAGGACTGGAGTGGCCATTCGCACGACCGCTGTCCGACCAAGACCACGAAGCAGCAAAGAACGAGGACGGCAACTACGAGCCTGACGACTTCCTGATCGACACCACAGGCGGATTCCAGACCAAGGCAGCTTGTATGGCCCCGAAGGGGAGCAGCGGCACCGGCTACGACCGGCGTCGCTTCATGCTCGCTCACATCCCCTTCGCAAGAGGTGCAGTCCAAGTTCCAGGGCGGCTACGCGAACATCCACGAGGCGCGCACAGTGGTTGCTTTGGTGAATGCCCTCGTACCATGGGTAAGAAGGACCAAGAGCACCATCCTCATACTGTCGGCGTACAAGCTCCAGCTGACCCCCGTACTCGCTGGCAACCCGTGGACGCTTCACGACATCAGACTTTGCTCGCGAGCGGCGCAAGGGGAAGGAAACGACTTGAATACGGACGGCCCCAGTTCCCTGCGCCAGCAAGGACGGGGCAGCTCCAGCTCCTCTCAGGCCACCAAGGGGCCCACGGGAGGGACATGGATCAATCGCGCCTCGGCGGCAAACGGCCTGAGTGAACACTTCAGCGGGGTCGCATTGTGTCCAGACCTCCTGGAGAGCGAGGCGATCCGTGTCACCGCCATCGACGCCGCGCAGGGACAAGAGACCTCCCTCGCCATCCGAATGATCACTCGGGCCAACTCCATGCTAAATTGGGGCCACGTCGACGACCGGCACCGCATCAACGCGGGGCTGACGCGCTCACAATGCAACCTCGTCATGACCGCGGACGCAAGGATGTTCTGCACGGCCACAGACGCTGCGCTCCATCGCCTGAGCACCTGGGCCCGGAAGGCAGACCTCGCCCTCGAATTCCGCGCCAATCGAGACGGAAGCCTGCGCCAGACCAAGGCCGACTCGAGGGTTTTCGCGGACGACATCCCCGAGTTGGCCAACCCAGAAGAGAAGGCCAGGCTCGCGGCGGAGGCCGAACGCAGACGGAAGGAGAAGGAAGTAATCAAGGCCCGACAGGCTCAGCAGGCTGGCTTATCGGCGCGCGCCGATCTACTGCTCCCTGCCGACCACTGCTGGAAGGGCCTGGAGGACGACGTTAACGTTGCAACGACGAGGCTACTGGGCTGCCCAGCACTTAGTCCATGCCTGCCATGGTGCCTCGGGCTACATCCGCACCAGCACGGCGTCGCGGACCGACCTACTTACCCCGGCCTGCAGGACAGGAAGGGATGGGGCATGAACGGGCGCCGCTTCTGCTGCTCGGCGCTGGTAGGACTGGGCGCCAGCAACTTGGTTTACATTGCAGTCTTCGCGACCATCGCGCGGGCGATAGGACTCGGAGTCACGAACAACGACAACGCGCACGCACTCGACCCAGCCTGATCCCGCCCCGAACGAACCGACCGAACATGCCGGCAGCGTGGCACGTTAAGGAAACCTGCATCCCCACCGACGCCCCCAGGCGCAGACCCAAATGCTGGCAGCCATCTACCTGCAAGTGCCAAAAGCACAAGGAGCCACCCACAACGGCCGCGTTTCAAGCCTTCTGTAACATGCGCCCGAAGGAAAGCCGGCCACAGTTCTCAACGGCCCTCTGGACAGCACCGGCGCGACCCTGGGTGCCATCCAGGCCAGGATCCTCCTCGCCCTGCCCCGCCCATGCAGCGCGAGACGCGCGCCTTCCTGTGCCCGTGCGGGGGCGCCGAAGGCATTGGGGACGTGATCGAGGCCATCCTCGGCTTGCGCGAGCCGCATCGCCCGCGCGACAAGACCGCTCGCGACCAGTTGGGCGCGTTGTCCGGACTACAGTGGAAGCACTTCAAGCAGCTGCACTCGGCACTGGAGCTCCTGATCACAGCGGCGCCCCGCATAGTCACGATCGCCCACCACCACCCACTGGCCAGGGGTGCGAACTGCCCCGCGACCTGGGCGGGCCCAGTGGCTAAGAAATTCCCAATCCAGGCCACCCTCGCGGTCATCGAGGGCACCGCGTCCACCGCCGACCTGTCAGCCCTGGCGTTCCATGAGCGCGCCGCATGCGCACTCTACGTCGACGCGATCGGATCCGGCATCGGCCTCGCCGACGACCCGACTAAGCAGGCAAGCAGCGCCACCTGGTAGGTGGAGGATATTCACACACGCGCCTGCACCTGGACACGCCCGCCCCGCCCGGGCCACGCCCTGGAGTGACGCGAAGGCCCCCGTGGTTAGACCGCCGAGACACCAGGTGGAGGAGGGAGCAGAACAAGGCTGACTTCGACTGCCAAGGGTGCCTGCGCGGCCCCTTCAAGCACGACAAAGGCGCCTACGTCAGCAAACGGATTCGCCGAACCATTACGGTCAACAGGCTGACGGGGCACGACCAGGGGAAGGACCTGACCTCGCTTTGCATATGCTCCTGGACTACGAAGGCAATGGCCGAGCGGCAGCCCATCCCAGACGACGTGGACTTCAAGAGCTGGATCAACGACCGCCCCGACGACATGCCTGTTCGAGCAACGCGCGCCCTTCTGGGGCTGCGTCCGACGTCCGCACCTGCGGCCCTAACGCCCCTGGACCAGCTACGGGCCCCATTGGAAGGCGACCTGAACCCCCTCAATGTGGGAACCACCCTCCCAGCCAGCGTCACGACCGCCTGATCTCCCATTTCCACAAGGGGAATGTCGGCATCTGGCGATGCGATGGCTGCCCCCCTGTCAGAGAGGGACACAGGTGGGGGCCAGGGCAGGCTTACCCTGGCATGTATGGGTACGCCGCGGACCCAGAAGGACTCCGCGCTGGCTTCAACCTGGTCCACGGGCCCCCGCCCATACAACTGACGAGGGAGATGTTCCTGGCCAAGCGCTGGCACGCGGGCTGGTACTGCAAGGAATGCCTGATCCACCAATGGGACATGGCCCCGTCAGCAGTGGACCAGGTACTCAACAGATACGGCCTTGACGTAGGCCCGAGCGCAGGGGCCAGACCTCGCCCCGCACTGCCGGGCACCCCCGCTTCATCTTCAGAAGACGCAGCACGCCCCAACCAAGAGGAGGCGCTGCGACGCGCGTCCGCCTGGGACGAGGCAGAGCGCAGCTACTGCGACCGCCTCCACACTGCACTGCCGCCACCGCCCAAGGATAAGCAGCAACCCCTCGCCCGGGATCCCGACGCCACGGCTTCCGCCCAGCCGCCCGCGGGGCGCGCGTCCAGCAGCGGCGCCCAGCAGCACGCCGCCCACCGAGCGGGCGCGCGCCCCGACCACACCGCCAGCCAGGCCCAGTCAC